CTGCTTCAGTGACTCCATTCAGCCACCTCATTCTCTGTCGTCCCCTTCTTCTTTTGCCCTCAATCATTCCCAGCATTAGGCTCTTCTCCAGGGAGTCCTTCCTTCTCATTAGGTGGCCAAAGTATTAGATAGAAGCAAAGAGATATAGAACTCCTAACCCCTTCCCTACCATCTTGTGGTTCTTTGGATTCAGCAGATTAGATTTGGTATTCATACTATGCCTCTTGCTTTCATTGAGTGAGGATGATGTTGACAGAATGATGCAAAACTGAAAACTTTTACTGATCTTTTTTATTGTTCCTTTGAGTCATCCTTGGCAACATTTACAAGAAGAGTTTGCTTTTGTCTTCCTTTCCTGAGACAGAATAAGGCCAAAGTCACCCAGCTGACCTTATCCCCAATAAAGAAGTCTCCTGCTTCCTAGTCCAGGGCCTTTAACCACTACATCAAACCATATCTCTCCCCCCCTCTCTCTCTCTTTCTCTCTCTCTCTCCCTCTCCCTCTCTCTCCCTCCCTCCTTCCTTCCCTTCCTCTTCCCTCCCTCCCCCTCCCTCTTTTACAGAGTTTATAAGCAGCACCAATTAGTTGGAGGCAAAACAGAATACAAGCAATCAGTCAATCTAAATCAATACAATTCCACATCCCAATACAAAACCCTGGGAAGAGCTGCAAACCAGCCTCCATTCGTAGAAGGCAAATATATCATTCAGCTCCCAGGACTTGTTTGAACAGCTGCGTCAATAGACCTCCTAACTGGTCAACAGAGAAGGTATCATTCAAATGTCTGAGGAGATCCTGTTGTTCCAGAGGAAGAGATAAGAAGAGACAAAGTGTGCTTCTGCAGTTCCTGGAGATGATACTCTCTGGGCAAGGAGATGTGGAGTGAACAGCCTACTATGAACCTACTAAGTAGGAAATTTCTAGGCCAGGAAGAAACATTTTTCTCTATCACTTCATTAGTAGCAATATCAATAGCACTTAGACTTATATGCCACTTTACAGTGCTTTACAGTCCTCTCTAAGCGGTTTACAGAGACAGCCTATTGCCCCAACAATCTGGGTCCTCGTTTTATTGACCTTGGAAGGATGGAAGGCTGAATCAACCTTGAGCCGGTCAGGATCGAACTCCAGACTGCATGCAGAGTCAGTCTGCAATACTGTGTTCTAACTACTGTGCCAGCAAGGCCCTTCCTTCCTTCCTTCCTTCCTTCCTTCCTTCCTTCCTTCCTTCCTTCCTTCCTTCTTGCCTGCCTGCCTTCCTGCATGCCTGCCTCTCTCCCTCCCTCCCTCCCTTCCCAAACAGCAATAGCACTTAGATTTATATACCACTTTTCAGTGCTTTACAACCCTTTTTAAGTGATTTGCAGAGTCAGCATATTGCCCCCAACAATTGCCCTTCATTTTACTGATCTCAGAAGGATGGAAGGCTGAGTCAACCTTAAACCGATCAGGATTGAACTTCTGGCAGTGAGCAGTGAGTTAGCCTGCAATACTCCATTCTAATGACTGCATCACCACAGCTCTTGCCTTGTAAGGACCAGAAGGTTATTTTGAATTTAGGAAGGGAGGATATGGGAAGGGACAGTGTAGTCTTTCTCTTCCACACCTTTTTTTTTTTTAGGAAACTGGTACACCCATCTGGGTTATATTTATGACATTTCTCTATATCTCCAGTAGTCTGTTCTCTTCTTGATTCCTTCCAAATGAGTAAGGGCTAAAATCATCAGAAATTGCAGCCAAGAAGTTCTCTACTGGACAAAATCGGTGACAGCCTAACATTATGTGAACTTTTAGAGAGTTGGGTGCTAGTCAATATTTTTATTTATTTATTTATTTATTTATTTATTTATTTATTTAGTCAAACATGTACAAGATAACAGATTTTAGGATTAAAATGGACATGAACAAAGGAAGTAAGTACAGATACATGGGGACAGTAGGACAGGGATGATAGGCACACTGGTGAGCTTGTGCACACCCCCTTTAGGGACCTCTTAAGAATGGGGTGAGGTCCACGGTAGACAGTTTGAGGCTGAAGCTGTGGGGGTTTGAGGATGTAACAATGGAGTTGGGTAGAGCATTCTAGGCGTTGACCACTCTGTTGCTGAAGTCATATTTTCTGCAATTGAGTTTGGAGCTGCTTACCTTAAGTTTGTATCTATTGATTGGTATCTTTCTGTTGAGTATCTAGCTATTGATATGGATAACAATGCCTACATACATTTGCGCACATACACTTCCAAACACACAAAAACAAATACATATATGCCATTTCTTTAGCTTGGCGTGCATGTGTGGAGATTGAAGAGATAACGATTTCATTATGTAAGCACTGATATAATGTAGGAAACTAACCAAACAAATAAAACACTAGAACCAGGATGGCGAACCTATGGCACATGTGCCACGGGTGGCACACGGAGCCATTTGTCAGGGCATGTAAGGCGTTGCCCTGTCAGCTGGCCAGCGCGCATGCATGTTGAATTGAATTCAGCCTTTTTAAAGTCATTTTTCACCCTCCCCAGGCTCCAGAGGCTTTATAGGAGCCTGGGAAGGGCAAAAAGAGCTCCCCCCCCCAGTGGCCCTCCAGAGGCTTCAGGAGCTTCCCTGAACCCTCCGGAGCGTAAAAAAGCGGCCCTAAGGGCAAACCGGAAGTTTGGGAATGGACTTTCGGTTTGCTCGTAGGGTCAGTTTAAGCCCTCAGGAACCTTCAGGGACCTTCAGTAGGCTTCTCTGAAGGCTCTGGAGGACTAAAAACGGCCATACAAGCAAACTCGAAGTGACTTCCAGTTTGCTCACAGGGTCGTTTTTAGTCCTCCAGACCCTTCATGGAAGCCTCCTGAAGGTCCCTGAAGGCTCCAGAGGACTAAAAACAACCATACGAGCAAACCGGAAGTCACTTTCGGTTTGCTCGTAGGGTCTTTTTTTTGCCCTCCGAAAGCTCCTAAAGGTCCCTGAAGCCTCCAGAGGGCCTCCAGGGGGGAGGGGGGAGGCTGTTTGCTATAAAGCCTCTGGGCCTGGAGAAGGCAAAAAAAGCATGCAAAAAATGGGGGGAGCGCTTGTAAAGGTAAAGGTTCCCCTCACACATATGTGTTAATCGTTCCAGACTCTAGGGGGCGGTGCTCATCTGTGTTTCAAAGCCAAAGAGCCAGCGCTGTCTGAAGACATCTCTGTGGTAATGAGGCTGGCATGACTCAATGCTGAAGGTACACGGAGCGCTGTTACCTTCCCACCAAAGGTGGTCCCTATTTTTCTATCTGCATTTTTGTGCTTTCCAACTACTAGGTTGGCAGAAGCTGAGACAAGTAACGGGAGCTCACTTCATTACACAGCACTACGAGTTCGAACCGCCAAGCTACCAACCTTTCTGATCGACAAGCTCAGCATCTTAGCCACTGAGCCACTGCGTCCCTGTCACCCGTAGAGATGCCATATTTCTAGAGCACCATTAATTCCAAACAATAGCAGTCAACCCAACCAAGACAATGATTATGTGATGACTGTGAGATTATTTAATGCTTGGTGTGTGTTCTTTTGAATTGGTGTTAATGATTGACTCACTCCTGGTGACTACCTGGAAAAGTCCCTGCAATTTTCTTGACAAGATTTTAGAATCGACTTACTTTTGCCTTCTTCTTCTTCTTCTTAGGACAGGGGTTAGCGATTGGCCAAGATGAACCTTTTGGCTTCATGTCTCAGGAAGGACTGGATCTCCTGGTCTCTAAACCACTGCCTTTTAACCACTACAAATTGGTTTGAATATGCATTATTAGCCCTAGGAAAGCTCTAGAAGGCTACATGGCTATTTTCAAAGCATAAATAAATGATGCATTATGAGCCGTGGTGGCGCAGTGGTTAAAACACAGTACTGCAGGCTATTTCTCCTGTCTGCTGGCTGCCAGCATTTTGGCAGTTCGATTCTCACCAGCTGAAGTTTGACTCAGTCTTCCATCCTTCTGAGGTCAGTAAAATGAGGACTCAGGTTGTCGGGGGGCAAAGTACCGACCAGTGGTGGGTTTCAAAAATTGTTCGAAACTACTCTGTGGGTGTGGCCTCTATTGTGGGAGTGGCTTGCCACCCATGTGACCGGATGGGAGTGGCTTGCTGCCCATGTGACCGGATATGAAGATGCCGACGACACTTGTCAGAACCACCTTAAATTAACTCACACACAGCACTGGCATCCATAAGAATATGATGTAAACCTGTTTTTTAAAAGGCATCTTTGGTTTGCGTTAAAACAACTTCAACACACACAATGTTCTGATTGCACCACAAATGCAGTAGTCATCCTTACCTTTCACAGAGGCACTGAGTTTTATAAATATGAGCATGATAGTGTAGAATAATCATAACCAAGGACCAGTGGTGGGTTTCAAAAATTTTTGGAACCTCTTCTGTAGGTGTGGCTTGCTTTCCGGGTCCACTGGTGGAACCTCTTCTAACCGGTTTGGTAGGTTTGACGAACTGGTTCTACCGAACAGGTGCGAACTGGTAGGAACTCACCTCTGGTACCGACTCTAAACTGCTTAGAAAGAGCTGTGAAGCACCGTGAAGCAGTATATAAGTAAGTGCTATTGCTATTTCAAACTCATTACTTTGATTGATCACAGGTAGTCCTTTCTTAGTGACCACAACTGCGACTGGCAACTCTATCGAAGTGGCCATTACAACAACAGTTCTCATGTGGTCAATAAGCAAGACATACAAACCCGACTTTCCCATTTTCAATTTCCTTGCTGGGTTCTCTATTGACTCTGCTTGTTGGGATCCAGCTATAAAGCACACAAATGGCAATTGCCTGACTGTGGGTCACTGCAAGAGATCGTAAGGGTGAGGACCAGTCCTGCCACAATTTTTTTCTAGTTCTGTCCTAACTTTAAACGGTTGCAAAACAGAGCAGTGGTTAAGCAAGGCCTACCTTAAAGGATGCTCTTTTTTAAAAAAAAAAAACATTCATTTTTAAATAAATGGATGGATGGACAATCATAACGTGACATTTGTTTCATGCATTTATTGAATATTCTTGAACATGGTTCAACACAGGTGGAATTGTTTGTAGGTGCTCTAAGTTTGATGTCTTGGTAGGCTTGCTTTGGGCTTGTTATATTTTAGGTAGCTCCTCTCTCCAGCGCAGGATGCTAGTCTTCCTTCTTCTCAAATGAAAGAAAATTCACACACCACCAAGAGGTCTTCTTCACAGGACGCAGAGTGCCAGGCTCCCTGTGCATCTGTTTTTATGCACGCCTTGCTTCCATCTGTGTTATTCGGTTCTCCCTCAGCCCAGTTGGTGAACGTGGCTGAGTTGCGGACTTCAAGATAGGCTTCTTTGTTGTGCCTCCCCAAAACAGATGCGAAAGCCTCATTCTCATTTAGGAGTTGAGGGGAAGGAATACGGCCACCGGCTTGGGTACATATGTTTCCGAGTTCTCCAAACTTCCCTACTTTCTTGTTAGTCACGTATAATCTTTCACTGCCACTTCCAAAGGATCGAGCTAGAAACACAGTTGAAGAAGCAAATGTTTGACTGTAGAAAACATTCCACAACTCATGTTATTTTTGTGTTCCCTTCCCTAGGTATAGGGCAACAAGCAGTCGTGCTAGTCGTTCCTGACTCATCTCTATTTCAAAGCCGAAGAGCCAGCCCTGTCCAAACATGTCTCCAAATGCCAAAGGTGCATGGACCGCTGTTACCTTCCCACCAAAGGTGGTCCCTATTTTTCTACTTGCACTTTTACATGCTTTTGAACTGCTAGGTTGGCAGAGGCTGGGACAAATAATAGGAGCTCACTCCATTACACGGTGCTAGGGATTCGAACCCCCAAACTGCAGACCTTTCTGACTGACAAGCTCAGCGTCTTAGCCACTGAGCGGCCATGATGTCTAGAGGCCACCAAAACTGACACCAGCTAAACTATAGAACTGGGATCGCAAACCTATGGCATGTGAAATCACTTCCAGTTTGCTCGTAGGGTCAGTTTAAGCCTTCCAGAGGCTTCAGGGACCTTCAGGAGGCTTCCCTGAAGCCCCCAGAAGGCTTAAACTGGCCCTACGAGCAAACCTTGCTCATAGGGTCATTTTCTGCCCTTTGGAGGATTCAGGGAAGCCTCCTGAAGGTCCCGGAAGCCTCCAGAGGGCCTCCAGGGAGATGGGGAGGCATTTTTCACCCTCCCCAGGAGCCTATAAAGCCTCTGGAGCCTGGGGAGGGCGAAAAAAGCATGCAAAAAATGGGGGAGGGCCTCTCATGAGCGCATGCACACTGGGGGAGTGCACGTTGCATTATGGGTTTGGCATGCCCGCACACGACCCTCCTGCGCTCCCCCTCTTATGGCATGCAAGCCAAAAAAGGTTTGCCATCACTGCTATAGAACAGTTCAAAGATGGGAAGATGTGGAGAGGCCTGGCTCATAGAATCACTAAGGATCAGGCATGACTCAACAGCTTATACCATCATTGTCATCATCATCCATGATGATCATCCATCCTGGTCCTCCATGATCATCATCATGGTCATCCATGAGGATAAAATGGTGGTCTCCATCACATATATAGTCCTTCGGGAGTGGGCGGCATACAAGACCAATAAACTAAACTAAACTAATGTGTGACAGGCCTGGAAAAGATTGCCCCGTTCCACTTCCTATGTTGACCCCTGCCTCTATAGATACTCTAAGAGACGGGCAGTTGGCATTTCAATTTAACCGAACTGAATACTTTATTTGGCCAAATGTGATTAGGCACACAAAATAACATTTTGGAGCAAAAGCCAGGGTTTCACGTTTTCTTACCACGATGGACTGTGAAGAAGGCATTTTCCAACTCTTTCACCTTTTCCTTAAGTCTGCCTACATCTTCAGACAAAGAATTCAGTACTAGAAAGGAAAACAACATCATGTTATTGGAGTCCCAGAAGGCAAGGCAAGCTGTGCCAAACTGCCCCCACTTGGTTAGCATTCAAACAGTGAGCAACTATTCTTTCTTGGAGTGGCCTACTTATCCTTCAGGTGAATGCTAGGCATCTCACCTTAGTATATATTGGACCTCAGAAGAAGGCTTGAAATGGCTTGGTGGTGGCGGTGGGAATTAGATTATTGCCTTGTTCTCTACCCTTCTTGAACCTCACCCATTCTGGGCAAGGAGGACCTTAGCAAGCCTGCTTTCCTGATTATCCCATTCCAGATGTGAATTCACACACTGGAAAGCTCTTTCAGAGAACAGACATCTTTGGATTAAAAGTCTTGTGTCAGCCTTGAAGTGCTGATGTCTAAAGTTATGATTTGTTTGGATTTCCTCAGTAAAAGGTTTCAAAGGAGCTCTTTTACCAACTCTGCTCTCCAGGAGCCTTTTTTGCATTCAGATAAAAGAACTGGAAGGGACCTTGAAGGTTTTCTAGTCCAACCCCCTGCTCCAGTAGGGGACACTATGCCATTTCAAACAAATGGCTCTCCAATCTCTTCTTAAAAACCTCCAGTGATGGAGCACACACACCCCCTCAACCTCTGGAGTCAAGCCGTTCCACTGATCACTTGTCACTGTCTGCAAATTTCTCCTTAGTTCTTGGTTGCTTCTCTCTTAGTTCCCATCTGTTGCTTCTTGTCCTGCCTTCAAGTGCTTTGGAGAATAGCTTGACCCCCTGTTCTTTGTGGCAGTCCCTCAAATATTGGAACACTGGTAACATGTCACCCTAGTCCTTCTTTACACTAGACTGGACATACCCAATTCCTGTAATTGTTCTTTCTATGTTTTAGCCTCCAGCCCCTGAATCATCTCTACCTTCAGATAACAGCATTCAGATAACAGGAATGGCACCCATGCCCCCCCTCTGCCCTTGTGCTAAGCCCCCTCCCCATTCTCAAAAAAGGGGTTAAAATTATCACATTGTCCTTCAGGATCCGTGTCATGTCCGTTGGCCAGAGATAGTCCCAAAAGAAGAAGACTGGACAGCAGGAGCAGCTGCATCTTTTGACCGTATAACCTATACAATCCATAGAGCAGAGTTATTGTAGTATACATAGCGGTTTTTAGACCCTTAGAATTTTACATTCACATTCCAGATTGCCCAGAAAATGCATAGCAAAAGATACAATCCCAGCTCAATCTAAGATATTTTTTGATACACATCTGCCATAAATCACTAATTGAACAAACTATAAGCATGCATTGAGCATATTTTCTAGCCCATTCATTAGACCTCAGGTTGAACATTCAGCAGAATGGCTGTTAGCAACTATACAGTTCTTAATTAGTATGTGTGTGTGTATATCTATATCTATATCTATATCTATATCTATATCTATATCTATATCTATATCTATATCTATATCTATATCTATATCTATATCTATATCTATAT